TAGTTCATAGAGCGTGCGCTGTACAAAGACGTAGGCGATGTCCATGTGTGGGTTCGATTCCCCTCGAGGCTAATGAACTTTGTACAATTTCAAATGGATATTCGAATCAAAACTGTAACGTCAGTAGGGAACCTGAGGACAAACTTACATGAAAGTTGGTGAAAATAACAGTAATTATGCTCGCGTTCATTAATCACATTTCTTTAGATTATGCCGGAATGATAAGGTCGAATCACTAGTGCAGTTTTACCGTTAGTGGAATCCAAAATTTGTGATTTCATTATTATTTTTTCAGTAATCGGAAGCAGCTCATTACGCTGTATTGATCTTAATGACTCATTCGGCGACTCTTTCTTAAGTCTAACCTCTGGATAGTGTGCTGGTGGCGGTGATCAATTTAATCCACCGGTTCAAGTCGCTGTTTCTATCGAACCCTGGGTCCTAAGGTCCATGGTTCGAACCTTGTCCTGACGTTCAACTTGAATGATAGGCAGCTTTGCCGGTGCCCAGCCATCCCATTTGAGCCTTATATGATGCTCTATGACAAACCACAGGATTTAAATCACGGATTCTCATGGCGGCTATGGAGTTCGGCCATTGACTGTCCATCAAACTAAGTAGTAAGAAATATCCGTGTTTTGAAATCATGCAAATTCGGTTTTTCATGTTGCTTTGGGTGATGGTTTCAATTGTATTGCATCAGAATTAGCAATCTGATCGAGGGGTGTGTTCTGCTATCGAAAACTTATCTCAGAGTTTTTTGTGCAAAATGTTAGTTCGTTCGTTGGATAAGTCCACTTGTCAATATTCAATAATGGATAGCCTTATTTGATTTCGTTCGTTCAACATCAAACGTGTTCTTGATTTATATCAATTCTGACCCTATTTGTTTTGTCCCTTACCGTGGAGTCGGAGCTCTATGTCTGTGTTAACTCAGGAGTTTTTCTTCTGAAGTACCTTTACTTGGGCTTCTTCAAATGGTTTGTTCTGTAGCTTCTTATCGTATTGTATGCGGTAAATAAATTGGTCATTGTCTGCATCCACCCCTTGGTTCTGCATGCATAACTTGCTGCTTATTCGCGCGGATGCGTCGCTCCGCCACCCCCCACCCTGATCTCAATCTGACCGACAGATCTGATCATTCTTTTTTTCTGTCCTGCTCACTTCTCTCTGTGGATTGATCACACTCTGTCTTTTTACCCGACCCATTTTTCCCGAACTCAGTTGGGTCTAACTGACGGAAGACTTTTTTGGAGGTAACCCTCCATGCTGTCCAGATTGGCTTCAATATCTAGTTCATTGTGCAGAAGATACCGACTTAATGTCCCTCCTGAGGTTTGTGAGAGAGAGTTCACAATTTTTGTGTTGGTTTGTGTGTTTGTTATCGTTCTCTCGGCCGAACCATCCTGTTCTTCATGCTCGTTCCTCGAGGCGCGCACATCGCTCTCTCTGTCTCCCTGCGTCCGAATTTAATCAAACTCCGTTTTACGCACGAACGATGCGTCCTATGCGTGATCGGCTGCCAGCGTCTAATTGACTTCACAGTCTAGCCGTGGGTTTCGGGCCCGGTGAACCAGATCAACTCAGACTAGACTGAACCGCTTGTACAGCCGCTACCCTTTGGCCCGTCGGTGGGTTCGGCTTATCCGTGTATATGCGCGAGCGCGAGCGTGTGTGTGTGTGTTATTAAATTGCAGTGAAGTTGGTCGTGGTCCGCCTATGTAGTTGATAATCAGATATTCACTAAACTCTGTCTTTTTCATTTTCAATCTGATAACTGTCGGTTTTCACGAAAATGAAATAGACAGGCGCGCTAGTTTCGTTTATCCAATGAACAATGCAGGATGTTCTATTGAAGAAAGGGGCCGGGGCACCCAACTAGACAAACGGACTCGATTTCACGTCTCGTTTCATTCTCCCTCCCGAAGAACTGAAATGCAGTACTGCCTTCCATCAGTCATGTCGTTCACCAGTTACGTCACATTTGGCCACATACGTCAGTAGTGAATTTAGATGAGATGTTCTCATTTACCTTTCCCTGTTGGTGATATCGGACTGTTTGAATCGGTATTCGGTTATCCGCTGGTTTACTGTCCACGTTGTTTGCTTTTTCGTTTCAACTTTGACACCGAAAATTCCCATTATCCAAACAGGCCGGTAGATTTTCGTGGTGAGGTTTTCAAATAGCCCGTATTCAGTCTATTGGAAAGATAATTTACAAGATAATCCCGGAATTGAAGTCAGTCTGTGCATCCCTGCCCCGTACATCAGCCCGATTCGACTGTTCCCGAATGAATAATTATTTAAAATTTAAAGAAAATTATCCCCCACGTGTAGCCGTTTTGGTCCGACTTGAATCGCACTTCCCATTTTCCACCAGCGGGTTTGATTGGCCATGACCAGACGCGCATTCATAAAGGGCAAATGGAAGGTACGAGAATCGCACGGTGACGCACCAGTCAGATTGCTCCCTTAACTCTCTGATTCATTGATCGGACATTCATCCAATACGGATTTGATTTGGCGTCGCTAGCGTGCCCGTGGCGTAGTGCGTATCTGTGCGGTGCGTGACGAGTTCTGTAATCTCTGTCCTGATACCACATGAGCAGCTCTTGACTCATGGACCCGTTTATAGCTCTAACTTTTGTTTTTGCATTCTATCACTGGTGAAAAAGATCGCCAAGCGAAGGTAGCGGATGGGGCCTCCTCAACAGAATTGCTTGCTTTTATAGATGCATTTTGTTAGGTGTAACCTCTAACCTCTAACCATACTTAGGCTTTCGGTAGGTGGCTTCGGCTCATAGAAAACAGTCAANAAACAATAGTATCGAAGTTCGAATACCTGAACTACGAGACACCGGATCGATGGCCAGCACTGTTAGATCATTGGTCCCCGAGGAGTGGCAAAGCAGACAGGTTTCTTCCTTATGTGAGCCTACACGGTACAGTCAATTGGTTATTTCCATGTCTTACAACTGGGATGGATAAACCGGTCGATGCAGTGTTTTTCTTGTCATTTTTATTGCACAAAAAGCCGCTTGTTTGTGTTCTTTGTGCGTCATTGTTCTTGGTGCTATGATCACATTCGAGTTATCGGAGGACATCACATTGACCGTATTTTCTCTCTCTCATTGTTCCTCGTGCTTAGGTGAGTTGACACTACAGAACGAACTGGATCACGAGCGCGCCAGTGCCTACTTCCTCACTCTCGAGGCTCGAGATCACGGTACACCACCGCTGAGTGCTACAACTGTGGTCACGGTGAACGTGGACGATGAGAATGACAATCGGCCGCAATTTGTTGGTCGTCAGCCATTACCGACCCTTTTACTGCTGAATGGAGCTAAACCCGGACCGGATGACACGGTCACTATCGGAGAGTATTTCTACAGTTTCAGTGTCGCGGAAAATAGTCGCAATGGCAAAGAAGTCGGTCGAGTAAGTGGAATGCAATGTTTCTTTTGTTGATCGTTCTTGACAATCAAGCAGTAGATACGCTTCGCTTTTGAGGGAGTTCGCAACGTACTGTGTTCAGGATTGTTTTATCAACTTACCTCAAAGGGATGAATAAAATAGGACTCGCTGTTTGGTTGAACCGACATTCTAAGTCCCAGGACTTGGAGTAGCCAACTGTACACAAGGCTTGTCACCATAGTTGGTTGGTGGTGGAAGGGTTCAACCCCCAAATCCAAGCCGTTTTGTGTAACTGTGTTAGCTCAAAAACTTGGAATTGTGAACCGCGTTGAACTAGTTTATAGTTAAAGGGAATGGTTGTACCAATGTACATGTGCTGGTGTTTGTCAGACTCGCGTCTTGAAACACTAATGTACTCTAGCAAGCAAGTTACTGCTACTTCTCTAAACCAACGGGACATCACAGTTAAGCCAATGTTTCTCCAGAACCGGTTCTCCTCTGTTGTTCATTCAAAAAGCACCGGTGCACTTCCTTGCATACACATGCCTGACCAGAGAGCTGTACACCCTCGTCTGGTGATGTTGTTATCTGGTTGCATTGAATATGATTAGACCGGACTAAGTTTAAATAAGTCCTGTTTGCGCGCGCGCTGCCTGTGTCTCCCCGTCTGAATTCCGTATGAGCTGTGAGTTTCACTGATTGAATATATTGTTTTTCCAATCGAACTGATTTTGATCCAACCGCCTATCCGCCAATCTCTCCTCTAACAAACTACACGGTCAATCAGACAGACAGCTAATGAAACTGTGCTTTGTACTGTCGTATTCATGGGATCGGATTGTGAAGGGTTTGCATTTTATGTGTACACACACGCGCCCGCATACGCAATCGGGGGAAGGGGGTTGGGGCATTCGAATCTGTTGTTTTTGTTTTTGTTGTTGAAAGGATGGATATAACGAAGTTGATATTATTGTTAGTCCCACGACTTCGTCTTATTCCGTATCTCCATTCAAGATTGTCCCGAATCACGGTTCTCTCTCTTCGCTCATCCACCGTTGTCTGCCTCTGACCCTTATTCCAATTTAACAAGAACAACAACAATAGTAACTAACTAACATGGCTATCCCCACCATCTGTAACGCCGCCACCATCAGCAGAATAATCACGGACGTGGGTTTGGGTTTTGACAGTTGATTTCGGGATTGCGCCACGAACAACACCGAACTATGGTAGCAACTCAGCCGTGATTGAGCGCGAATCTGTTTTGACTTGCAAATTCGATACCTTTTGACATTTTGAACGACTGTGTTTGGGGGGACGCTCGATTGAGGACGTGCATAGGATTTGTCCGTTCGAGGGGTCGATTGCAGGTTTAGTCGGTTGGTTGGAGCGTGTCAAAACTGAATCTGCTGTTCGGCTAGCTGTGAGACCGGGATTTAAAGGCGGTGGTTGGGGCTCGGTTGGCGACGATGAAATTGGTCGAGATGGGGGTGGGCGATAGGGTCATCTGTGATGAGATCGGTCTTTATGCTTTTCGATGCACCTCTCTCGCTTGCTACCTGTCCGTTGTTTTGTTCATGTGTGTGTGTATGTGTGTGTACGGAGTGATGGGGGTGGAGAAAGGTCGTCAAAGAGCAAACCAACAAGACATGGCAGGGCATGATGTGTCCTTTTTTACGAAACAAACTTGTTGTTCGTTTTACTATTGCTTGAGTTCTCGGGTTTCGGTCCACAGTCGAATTGCCAGTGTGCGAGTGCGCGTGTTTCGACGACCGGAATCAACTGTGAAACCACCTCCTGTCAAATACAGAACGCATAGTCTGTGGTGGCAACAATGATCCTGAGGAGGGATGAGGGTTTTGTGAATACTATGAGGGGCGGGGTGCATGAAACTAACTCGTTTAACAACGAGACGAGTCGACACAGGATCCGGAACGTCAGAGACCACCGAAGACCGGATCGGTTTTGGATACATTGAAAAGGGCAATCACGAAACGTTTACCGCAACCTGGTTAGGTGCAACACAGTCAGACCGAGACTGCATTGTGAATTGCGGAAACCGAGCCGATGACTGCTTTACGTTTTCGAAAACAGAAAATGTCAAAGAATAGGTTGGCCCGCTTCCTATCCGTATTTTCCATTCTCGGTCGGTCTGTTGAACAGTTTCCATTTTCCTGTCTGTTGTTGTAAACTTGTTTTGTACCAGCATTTATTCCCATTCCTTATTCAACCATCTCAGCCGATATCGCGTGATAGGGCAAAAGTGGAAGCTCACAATTACCATGGGAAGTAGGCATTCAACTGAACCGGGCTCATCAGTTGTACGAAATGAGGCAATAGATTTCAGGAACTGTTCCATTACTGTTCTGTACCGGCGGGAATCGAAGTTTATTGACTTCAGCACTATGTGGATTGCACTAAACAGAGATGTGTGCAACTAATGATAGTGAATATTCGATTCGATTAAATGTTATGGATAAGGGAGATAACTGCAAGGCTACCACAAACCCTTTTGTGATTGGATAACAGTGTTGTCGAATGTTGAATGGCTCGAACGAGCATGATTAGTCAAAGAAATGATCCTAACATCAAACTTCCTAGATTGTTTCGGGTGTGTGTATCGATCGACTCAAATTATTCACTTCTAAATCTGTGATATGAGTGTCAAATAGATGGAGGTTTTTCCCGCCTACTTCGGACTTTGTGAATACACGGTGACCTTGGTTATCGATTCGTTTCCGTTTCTAGGGTATTTCACAGCAATTTCAGCTTGTTCCGAAATTGCCTCTATGC